CTAACTTTATGGAAGAGTCAAAAATAACAATGGCCCCGAGTTCCCGGCGTCTCTTCAATGAGACAGGGGTGCGAAGAATCCCCGGGCGGAAAGTACTTAGGTTAGGAACATGGAATGCACGTAGCTTAAAACAAGACGGAAAACTTAGCAACACCTTGAAGGAAATGAAGAGGCTAAGAATCGATATTCTTGGTGTTAGTGACACTAAATGGCCAGGGCAGGGCAAAACGCTCACTGAAGACGACTACAACTTGTATCACTCAGGATCAGAGCACTCGACAGAAAGATACGGTGTAGGTGTATTGCTCACGAAAGAAATCTCAAAATACGTTATAAATTTTATACCTCTTTCTAATCGAGTCATGCTTATAAAACTGAATGCTAAACCTAGCAGTATTAATATTATACAGGTGTATGCACCTACAGAACAAAGACCAGAATCGGAAGTTGAAGGTCTATACAAAGACATTGAAACCTTATTAAAAACCGCAAAACCCCACGAGATAACTATAATAATGGGTGATATGAACGCAAAGGTAGGTTCTACGGTAGTTCCAGGGGTGACAGGTAGATATGGCTTAGGGACACGCAACGAAAGAGGCGATACCTTAATCGAATTTTGCCAAGAAAAAGATTTTGTTATTACGAATACCCTCTTTCAGCTACCGCCACGTAGACTTTATACTTGGACTTCACCCATGCACACCCCGAATCACATAGTGCGCAATCAGATTGACTATGTAATGGTCAATAAAAGATATCGCAACAGTGTTATAAAAGCTCAAACATATCCGGGAGCAGACATCAGGCCACAATCCAGTTGTAATCGTTTTACGATGTAAACTAAAGAAATTGTGCTTAAAGAAAACGAATACCCGACCCAACGTAAGAAAACTTTTAGATCCGGAAACCCGAGCAACAGTATCTAATGACATAAACGAATGGGCCACACAACAACGTAATGCTGTGGAGATCGATCTAGATATATGGACTAGCCTCAAACATAAGGTAAAAGATATCTGCCATAAATACCTGCGCCCGTCACATAATGTAAAAAAGCAAGATTGGATGACGGATTCAATTCTGCAGCTGATGGAAGAAAGAAGAATGTATAAATCCGTTGACGTAAAGCGCTACAAACAAAGAGACCATACTATTCAAAAAGAAATAAGAAGGGCACGTAGCAGCTACTATGAACAAAAATGCGAGCTTATGGAAGACCTGTTTCGGAAACACGATAGCTTTAACATTCACAAGCATATTAAAGAGATGGTAGGCCAATCTGTTCCCTTATAAATAAAGGAGCAGGTTTCCTGGCGATTCAATGGGGTACCCTGGCTATTGTGGGCTGTTATATTTCTCCTAATAAGTCTCTTTCTGATTACGAGGCCTATCTGGATAGCCTAGCTGTCTGCATTAGAGAGTGCCAGCCACGACCTATTATCGTCCTTGG